TAGGTTTGGTGCCGTCCAGCTTTTGAGGAGGAGGCCTAACAAGTGTCATGTGGAACTTTATCGGCGCCTTAGGTCTCTGATGGAGTCGGAGGGCCCTGCTTTTCTGGACAATGTGCCTAAAGCCGGGCGTCGTTTCCCTGAATTGATTGCACGTTTGGATGAGCTGACAGACATGCTTACGAGACTTGGTGTTTCTGCCAGCCCATATGACAAGACATACCAGGGTTTTGAGGTGCCTAAGGGCGAGCCAGCCCCGGAAGCAAAACCCTACCAAGATATGGATCCTGAGAAGCTTCTGTTGTTTGGAAAGGGAACTTGGGATGTGACGGATTTTTTGCCTGATGACTTGGTGATGGCTTACCGTGAGCCAAGGTCCTTGCTGCATGGTTATGATGTGCCCCCTGGTCCTAATATAAGGGATAGTCCTACCACTCTGGCCAAACTTGCCAAAAAATGGGATGATTTGGGTCTCCTTTATCTCCACCGCAAGCCTGTGCATTTGGATGGTTTGGTTAGGATTTTTGGCGCGATGAAGGACACCAAGGTCCACCGTCAGATCGGGGACCGGCGAGGGCAGAATGCCCGAGAGTCAATAGTAGTGGGCCCTAGTCGCAATTTGCCGAATGGTTGTGATTTCACGGAGTTGTACATCAATCCCAACACACATAGTTTGGCCATCAGCATTACAGACCGCAAGGATTTTTACCACCAGATCCATGCCACACAGGCCAGAGCCATCAGTAACACCATCGGTCCTGCAGTTCCCATGGAGATGCTCACGGAGACTGGTGCCTACAGTGCCTTTGTTTTGAGAGAGGCTCAGAGAAAGCAGCCAAGAGGGACCTATGGGGACGAGCTCTACATGCGAGATGAAACTGGCTATGAGCTGCCTCCTGAAGGGTGCCTATGGGTGAGTTTTTCCTCCATCCTCCAAGGAGACCACTGTGGGGTAGATATAGCAACGGCAGCTCATACGTCCCTTCTTCAGCAGCATGGACTCCTACGACCCTCTAGTAATATGGTAGCCAATAAGCCCCTTATCTCTGAGCATCTTGCGGAAGGCCTGGTCATCGATGACTATTTCTCTGTGGCTATAACACCTCTGGAACAGACTGGGGTTACTTGCTCAAAGCAAAACTATGATGCGGCAAACCAGGCATATCAGAGCTATGGGCTTTTGGGGTCGCCACATAAAGACCTTGTTGACGCTAAGGAAGGGAGGGTCATAGGTGCCTACCTGAACGGAAGTGACCGCGCAGCACAGCATGGCATGATTACAGTTGCGGCACCCATAGCGAAGCGTCTGGGACTTGCTTACCTCTCAGTCCTGCTGGCGCAACTCCCTTACACTAGCGATGCGTTACATCTGTGCTTGGTTGGAGGCTGGGTGTCTTGCCTGACGTACCGACGACCTTTGATGTCGGTGCTCTGCAGGTGTTTCAGGATGGTCGATATGGATTCCTTTGATAGGGATAACCCTAGGATCATTGCCTTGCCCCGGAAGACTGCAGATGAGCTTGTTTTGCTTGCGGTGCTGATGCCATTGGCTTCGACGGACATTGCCACTGATTTCGAGCATAGGGTTTTCTGTACTGATGCCTCAAGTTTCAAGGGAGCGATTCTATCAGCCACTGTGACGCGTGATGTAGCTGAGGTCCTCTGGAAGACGTCCCGCTCGAAGGGGGCATACACACGGCTGTTGACTCCACTTGAAAGCCTTCTTAAGAACCTTGATGCCTTGGAGGAACATGATAACCCTGCCCCGGAGCAACCTCAGATCGCTAGGCCCCTTGCCTGTGTTTACGATTTCATTGAGGTTTTTTCTGGAGCCAGTAAGATCACAGCATTTTTGAAGGAAATGGGTTTTGTTTGTGGACCACCTCTGGACTTGAGCATCAGTGCTGAGTATGACCTTACAAGGGTGCACGTGATCGCTTGGCTCACAAGTATGGTGGTGGACGGGAAGCTCCTTGCTTTCTTCCTTAGCCCTCCTTGCACAACATTCAGTATCATGCGCAGGCCTAGGCTCAGATCGGCTGAATCTCCGTTCGGTTTTGATCCCGAGGATGATCAGACATCTGTCGGAACCCAACTTGCTTGTAGGTCCATGCAGTTGATGTATGTTGGCGCCAGACATGATGCGGCAGGGATATCTGAGACACCTTACTCTTCATACATGAAATGGTTACCTGCGTGGCAAACGGTTAGGCGCCTTCCGAACAGCCAGGAGGTGAGGTGTGACTCTTGCCAATTCGCCTCGCCTCACTTGAAGAGTTTCAGGTTCCTTGGGGTCAACGTTGACCTGGCGGCAGTCAGGAAGCGCTGTAGATGCCTGGAGAAACATCTGCAGGTCCAAGGTAAGTTTACTAAGGTGTCTGCCACCTACACTGATGAGCTTGCCCGCGCCCTTGCGACCATTCTTGCTGGATCCATCCAGGCTAGGAAAGAGACTGCGCGACAGATTGAACAAGGACCTACAGCGGGACTTGAGAGTCAGCTTGTCAATGACCTGATGCAGAGCCTGCCATGGAAGGTATCGAGGCAGTGGACTTTTAGACGCAGGAGCCACATTAACATATTGGAAGAATCATCACTCCTTAAACTTTGCAATGACATAGCCAAATTGGGGGTCCCTAAGAGGATTAGTGTTATGGTCGATTCCAATGTAGTTAGGTGTGCGACTTCTAAGGGCAGAAGCAGTTCCTTGGGTCTCTCTTCCATTCTCAGGCGGGTATGTGCTTTGATTACCGCTGCAGGGATTTATTTGAATATCCCTTTCTGTCCAACTCGTTTGAACGCAGCAGATGACCCAACACGTGACTGTTCCCTGCGTAGTCCAATAGAAGGGCTCGGAGCATCTGAAATGTCCAGGGATGAACTTTTTGACCTGGCTGCATTTCCCAAGCTTAGGAAGTGGGCTTCAAATTGGGCTCGTCTAATCTTGCGGGTCTTAGGACTTAAAGCCCTGCACTTTGCCAACCGTGCAGTGTACCGCTTGCCCCTTCCCACTAAGGATGCTCCTTGCCTTGTGTGTCCTCATGACGTACTTGACTTCGATGCCACTTTGGGATACCCTGGAGAAGGCCCTTCGCCTTCTTTGTTTGTCTTGTCTTCAGTTCTTATCCTGTTAAGCCGAGTTTTGGGAGCTCCATTTGTCTTTGTGTGGACTTGGTTTCAGTTCTTGCATGAGCCAGCCAGATCCCGGCGTTGGACTTTTCGGGATCCTATTGGTTTGACTGTCGCCCCCCCCTGTGGGTCCTATGCGTGCTGTCCCCCTCTTCGTCCTAGGGTGCTTCCTCTTCTGCTGCTGGGGCTGCTCTGTAGTGTCGACTGTGCCGGAGCCATGCCGATCAATCCTAGAACACCTGCGGAGACCAGAAGGGTGTTCGAGCGAAGTCTTAGACCAGATTTGGCCTCTGGAAGACCTGTTACAGATGCAACCTTGAATTTGCGGGAGAAGTACTGGCAAGCTTTCATAGCTTGGACGAATGAGAATGGTTACGGCTTTGAGCAAGCATTGGAGTTTTACCATATGAACATCGAGGAGATAAACTTTATTCTGGTTAAGTATGGGCGAACCTTGTATGGTGCTGGCAAGTCGTACAACCAATATGCTGAGACAATAAACTGCCTGGTTAGCAAGAAGCCTGGTTTAAGGCGACTCATGACTGCGGCTTGGGATCTTGGGTTCTCTTGGTCGAAACAGGAGCCTTCGCAACATCATATACCGATGCCAGTGCCTATTCTCTTGAGTATGCTGGTTACGGGACTAATGTGGGGCTGGAGGCGCTTCTGCGGTATCATCGCTTTAGGCTTTGGCGGCCTGCTCCGCCCTGGTGAACTGGTGGCGGCTAAGAGGGAAGATCTTTTACTCCCCATCGACACTGGTTTTTCTGTTTCCTTTGCTTTGATGAGTATCAAGGAACCGAAGTCCAGGTTCACATATGCAAGACACCAATCCACAAAGATTGACAGTGAAGATTTGGTACAGCTGCTTAGTTTTGCTTTTTCTGAACTGCGGCCCCATGAGAAGCTCTGGCCCTACAGTGCGCAGACTCTACGGAGCAGGTTTAAATCTGTTTTAACAGCGCTCACGTTGTCTACAGTGAGCGTACCTGGCAATAGGTGTTTGGACCTAGGGAGCCTGCGATCTGGAGGAGCCACCTATATTATACTGATGACTGAAAATAGCGAGCTTTGCAGGAGGAGAGGACGATGGGCGAATCATCGCATGATGGAAGTATATGTACAAGAGACTATGGCCTTACAATACATGTCTCTCATACGTCCTCATGTCCGCAACCGTATAGTCACAGTTTCGAGTTTTTTTCTGGCGGTTTTTGAACAGGCAGCCAAACTAGCAGCTGCAAAGATCCCTGAAAGTACTTGGTTTACTATCCTTTCCCGGAGACAGTGACCTTGGAGGAAATGGGCAAAGAAATGGGCAGGTTCTTTTTGGTCAGCTTCTCATTGACTGTTGGCAGCTTTACTCATGGACCACAGGACCTATGACTGGCTGCCTTTCAACAAAGGCCAATTTCGAAGCAGACCCTGTGCACTTAGCATAAACAGCGAATGGAAAAGTCCGAAGCCTTGAGTTGATATATATACATACATACATACACTAAACATAATTAACATCTATATGGAGGACTTGGATCGTCACTCTAGCCCTACTATACTGTTATATATGCACTTTACAGAATCAAAATCTGTGTGGAGGATTGGGGTCATAACTCCACCTCTACTATCCTGTTCCATATGCAATTTACAGAATCAAATGCAATAAGAACTAAATAGCAGTAAATAGTTGAAGAGTACTGTAGCAGAAACAAAACAAATAAGATGAAACACAAAAGAAACATAAAAACGTAAGACTATTAACATAAACAACATAAATTATAAAACAACGCAGGTTTTGCCTGGAAATTTGGGGCCCCTATTTCCTCATGCCCTCTTTGATAAAAGGGGTTTGAACCTGGTGCAGCTGCTAGACTTAGGCACTGCGGCTGATGCGCTTTCTGCGGCTCCTGCGTTTACATAAGATGGCGAATCTAGCGGCAACTCGGCATCAGCGCAACATCCTGCAACAGTACTATCACGACACACACACACACAGAGACAGAGACAGACAGAGCCAGACAGAGGCAGACAGGCAGGCAGGCAGGCAGGCAGGCAGGCAGGCAGGCAGGCACAGGCAGGCAGGCAGGCAGGCAGGCAGGCAGGCAGGCAGGCAGGCAAGCAGGCAGGCAGGCAGCAGGCAGGCAGGCAGGCAGGCACAGGCAGGCAGGCAGGCAGGCACAGGCAGGCAGGCAGGCAGCGGCAGGCCGGCAGGCCGGCAGGCCGGCAGGCCGGCACACACGCACACATACACACATGTCCACATGTCTCAAATTATACCATCCAATCAAATTATATTATCCAATCAAACGGTTGACCGCATTACATAAATTGCGCATAAATTCATGCATACACTTACATTACATTTCATTGCGTTAAATTACATTACGTTACGTTACATTGCATTACATTACATTACAGCACATACATCTTCCCTGCAGCCCCCTTGCCGTGTTTTGCAGTTGGTGTAGTGGTCTTGTTCACAGCCACCGGATTGTCGTTGGAAAGGTGTAATTTCACTGGGTTCTCCGGGTCCAGTTTTGCCAACATAGTCATGTCATGCATTTTTGACGAGCCACTCTGACAGCATAGGCAGAGATCTTGGACCGTTTCAAGACCGACAGTTTTTTGCTGACGATGAACATCCTTCGAAACTCGACCAGATGTAGCACTTGTTAACTTAGTATGTCACCGCCATAAAGGCCCAAAAACATCATAAACAAGATGTTCCAAGGAAGCCTCTCAGCAGTCTTGGCGCTGAACCACTACATGTCTTGCATCTTCCTTGGGATTGCATTGCCACTGGGCACAAGTCACTGCCTTCTTAAGAGGCATTAAGAAACCACATTTTGATCACGTCCATGCTAGAACAGGAATAATTCAACGACGTTGAATGACTAGAGAAAACAAACCGGACTCGTGGTCATGAAATCTTGAGTCATATGATACTCTGTTTACATACCCAACGTATCCGAACGTGTGAATCATTGGTAGGGTCTCCTGTGTCAGACACCTCGCCGTCGCTTTTGGCTTCAGAAGCATGATTAGGTTTTCTGTGGAAAATGATGAGATGACCTGGATTGAGATTGTGCCTGGTCTCAAAGTTCAAAAAGTCGCATGTCCAGGTGGATCCGGCGTTGGGCAAATTTGCTTTCAATGCTTTGGTCAGTCCCCATTGCCAGTAGAAACACTTCACTACTTTACCTACTTTACCTTTTTCTTAGGCTGGGCTGGAAAACACAGACTTCTGGACTCAGTACTTGTCTGCCCTCCATTGGTGTCTCGGCAAAAGCTAGAGCTTGAGAGCGACAAGAGGTTGATGTTGCATCAGGTTTTATCCTGACTTGAAGCACTAAGCACTACCTTGGAGGTAGCCTAATTTTCTCTCATGCTCCGCTTCGTCCACGTTGAGATTAACCCAACATCAGATGTTGTTGCTTCGGAAAGCCAGCCATCCTACTAAAGATCTGGCTTGAGCCCAGCTAAGGTCTTTGACTCAGTTCATGCCAGCTACCAACAACATAGCGCCCAACACAGCTCAAGAGCGAATCTTCGCAATTTTCGTGGTGCTCATCGGCCTTGCTGTTTTCTCATCCTTTGTCGCTTATCCCAGTGATATCGCTTGGTGTTCGTCAGGTTGAAGGGTTTGCATATGTTTGCATTGACACCATTTCTTGATGCATCAAACTTCTGGGGAGGTGAAGCTGAGCGAAACTCAGGTCAGTGGAGTTACGAACACCGTGACCTTGCTGCACTGGGACGCCGCATTGCAAGCAGTTCTGTGATGTTCTGTGAAGCCTTGTCATGCTTAGTGTTTTTAATATGCAGATGATTCAGATTTTCTCATTTGCCTTGCCAGACCACTATGGGAAGCGAGGTGAATCAGCTGCGGCAAATACACACGGAACTCTTCAAGCAAGAAAGCAAAATGAAGTCCTTCCTCACGCAGAAGTCCGTCTCCGTTGATGTTTGGTGCAGAGTGCAGAAATTCTGCCGGCTACGGATCCTTTTGGACAAAATTTCATTGAAAGAGGAAGCCCCTTGGCAGAACTCTAGACAAAGTGTTGGATTGGATTCACTATCCTTGTTTGATTTGCAGGGGTCGAACTGTGTTGGAAGTCTGGCTCAGGACATCCCAATGCTCAAAGATCTACCGCAGGGGCTGCGGGTGAAGCTACACCAAGAGACCGGAGCCCAGATGCAGCACATGGAGAAGATAAGAAGAGCTGAGCTGTGGCAAGCTCTGACAAGCCATGACAAGCCTGATCAGGAAATATCGTGAAATATCGCGAAATCGCCATTTCACTTAGGATCTACATGCCAGTATTGGCGTCAGCTCGCTGGATGTCTGAAGGGTTGATGGAGCTTGACGAGCCACTGATGATCAAGTAGCTTGGCTTGGTTACAGCCACCGTGGGTGCAACATGGTGCAACCGTTGTTCACCAAATGTTGCACAAAGTTTGCCTTCTCCGCTTTTGCAACTTCCGAAACTTCTCCGGATTGCGCAACTACGGCTGGGGGAACTGTAGTTGTAGAGTTTCGCAATCCTGATAGCTGCGCCATCCGGGGAGTTGTGCAAGCAAAGTTTCGCAATCCTAGTTGCGCAATCCGACGACCCCGTGGAACTTCAAATTGACACGGAGTGTGCACAAGGGTAAGATGATATCAAATTCCCCCCCCATGGAACTTCAAATTGACGGGGAATGTGCACAAGGGTAAGTCCGGGTAAGTAAGATGATGTCAATTTTCCCACCCCCAAGATCTACATATTGACAGGGAATGTGCACAAGGGCAAGATGATTTCAAAATTCCCACCCCCATGGAACTTCAAATTGACGCGGGGTGTGCGCAAGGGCAAGATGATATCAAAATTCCCACCCCCATGGAACTACAAATTGACAGGGAATGTGAACAAGAGCAAGATATAGCAAGATGATATCAAAATCTCCACGTCAATAGAACTTCAAATTGACATGGGGTGTGCACAAGGGCAAGATGATATCAATTTTCCAACACCCATGGAATTTCAAATTGACGCGCGGTATGCACAAGCGTTTTGCGGGGAATGTGAACAAGGGCATGTTTTTTTCTCAAGTCCCACCCTCATGGAACTTCAAATTGACACGGAAAGTCTACAAGGGCAAGATTGTATCAAAACTCGCACCCACATGGAACCTCAAATTGACAGTGTCCACGAAGGTAAGAAGCTATCAAAATTTCCACACACATGGAACTACAAATTGACGGGGAATGTGCACAAGGGCGGGATGATTCCAAATTCGCCATGGAACTTCAAATTGACTGGGAAAGTGCACAAGGGTAAGGTGATATCAATTTTCCCACCGCCAAGGAACTACAAATTGACAGGGAATGTGCACAGGGGTTAGATGATTTCAAAATTCCCACCCCCATGGAACTTTAAATTGACTTGGATTGTCCACAAGGGTAAGATGATATCAAATTCCTCCCGTGGAACTACAAATTGAGGGGCAATGTGCACAAGGGCAAGATGATATCAATTTTCCCACCCCCATGGAACTACAAAGTGACACAGAGCGTTTAGAAGGGCAAATTGATATCATAATTTCCCGCCCTATGGAATTTTAAATTGACTAAGATGATATAAATTTCCCACCCCATGGAGCTGGAAATTGTTTTGTCATGTCGACACAAAGATGATATCAGAATTCCCACCCCATGGAACTTAAAATTGACATAGGGTGTGCAAAAGGGTACGATAAGATGGTATTCCCATCCCCATGGAACTTCAAATTTGACGGTGAATCTGCACAAGGGCAAGATGATATCCAAATTACCACCGGCATGGAGCTTCAAAAGGGTAAGATGATATCACAATTCCCACCCCCATGGAACTTCAAATTGACACTGCGTGTCCAGAAAGGTAAGATGATATACTGTAAATTTTCCGAGCCCCATGGAACTTCAAACTGACTTGGATTGTCCACAAGTGTAAGATGGTATAAACATTTCCACCTTCAAATTGACACGGCCTGTCCACAAGGGTAAGATGATACAAGGGTAAGGTGATATTAGCATTTCCACCCCATGGAAATTCAAATTGATTTGGGATGTCCACGGTAAGATGATATCAAAATTCCCATGCCCATCTGTCGTCAAAGTTTCACAGCACCAGTTTCTTAATCTCCCACCAGAGTTTCGCAATCCGGTTTCAGAGTTTCACAATACTAGTTTCACAATCTCTTCCCAGAGTTTCACAATCCGGTTTCAGAGTTTCACCATCTCACTTCGCAGTTTAACAAACCGATTTTGAAGTTTCACGATACCAGTTTCACAATCCGCCCTGCAAGGTCCACAATCCAACCTCCAAGTTTCACAACCCAAGTTGCAGAATCCGTCCTCCAAGTTTCACAATCCGATCGCCAAGTTTCATGGAAGACAAGCTGAGGCTTTGCGACGGAGTGCTCAGAGAAAAGGTGGCTACGGCAACGCAGGAGATCTTCATGGAGGGTGGTGAATGTTCGGACGTCGTGCTACTTGGCAGCTTGGGGGGAGATAGGACAGGACGTGAAAGAAACGAGATGACACGATGACGATTGTTTGAACATGTGATACCTCAGCAGCAGGCATGGAGCTTGTCAAGTCCTTGATGCGTTTGAGGATTCCAACAAGAACCAGGAGAGCTTTGATTTATGGAAGCTCTCGGCTTCGCCATCTCGAAATAATTCAAGAGGCCGTCGAATTTCGACAGCATTTCCATTGCAACCCGATTTTTTCAACCCTGCTGTGCGCTGCCATTCAGGATCTTGCCAAGTGACGCATTGAGTTTTCGACTACCTATCCTGACCTCCTTAACTCTTTCGTCGTGATGGCATACTTCATTTGCCTTGCCAAGAAGCAAGTCTTGACTTCATCCAGCCCTCATATGACATCGATTGACATCCTATGACCCCAGTTTTGTGAAAAATGTGAAAAGTATTTGGCCCCTTTTGGCAGGGAATTTGGCTTTGTGAACTATGTCTCTGGGCGAAGTGGGAGCACCGTGGCCAACTCGAAGCTACTGACATGACGCACTACATGGTCTCCTGTACGAAGCTACATGATGCTACATGTAGCTACACAGGGCAATGGGTGGCCAAGGAGATGGAATGAGAATGTGGAGGGCGCTAATAGGAACTCATGAATGAATATGACATCATATTATGCGCAGACCCCAAGGTTTGCCCACGAACAGGATATCGTAGAAAACGATGAGTTTCAATGGGCCCCACACAAAACAGATGAAATTGTGTTGAAGAAGTGAGCGCTGCATTTTGGCTTGGCAAGAAAACTATATCGCCATTAGGACATCGTTTAGGGCCTTTAGGGTATACATAGATATAACCCCCCCATCCCCATGGAACAAGTAACCATACCATCTTCAGTAGCAGCCTCCTCCTCCTCCATCATCATCATCATCACCATCACCATCATCATCATCATCATCGTCATCATCATCATCATCATCATCATCACCATCCTCATCATCATCATGACCATCATAACTTGATATGAATATATATATATAAATATAAATATATAAATATAAATATTTAAAAGTAAATAAATAAATAAATAAACAAATAAATAAATAATTAATTAATTAATTATTTAAATAAATAAATAAATACATAAATACATAAATAAATAAATAAATACATAAATAAATAAATAATATATATTTTGACCAGCCCCTGGCTGGCTTAAAACGTTTGGCCGGTTTTGGTGCACGGGGGGGGTATTGGTGCACGATTCTTCCCGACTAGTGCAAACCTGGTGCAAGGGTGGGTCTGGGCCTTTTTTTGTGCATCGGTGCACGGAAAAAAGAAAATGGTGTTGGAAAACAACTTTTTTGGTGGCAAACATCAATTATTTGGTGAAAACTTGGTGCTGAGAAGGGGGTTCGGAACTTTTGATGAAATTTCTTGAGGGTTTCCATGAAGTTGCAGGAGGAACATGGAGGTGGTGAAGTCATTACCTTACCCAGTGGGTTTCCTTCAAGACGCTTGCCTTTTTCGAGCAAGTTATATACTCATCCCAGCGTTCACAAGAAAAAAGGTCAAATTTTGGCCCAAATCTGACCCCACTTGTCAAGCGGCAAATTTCGGCACCGCTTTTGGCAAATAGCAACCCAAAAGTTGGTTTGACCTGGCGCCAGTCTTAGAGATTGGTTCAAAGTGATCTCAAAGATGTCAGCCAACTTGAAATGAAAAGTCTAAAGTCTCGTCCTTGGTGCCTTCAAAAGTAGCGCAGCTGGCGTGCAAAAGTCTGTAGATGAAGATGGTACCAGTTCCAAAGTGGCTCTGGTACTGGGCACTTGCATCAACATGCAAAGTGCTGATGATCTCGGAGTCTATTAAAGTACTCCACAGCTTTCAAACAGTCAAACCTTGCATGATCGAAAAGTATATATAAACCCTTGCAAAGTAGCTCTACCCAAAAGTGTTGAGCTGTCAAAGCGAATGGGCATTGATCCAAAGTGAGCAAAGTAGTCAAAGTACCACCTGTTCAAAACGTGGCCTTGTGACCCATAAACGTTGGTTTGGATCCTGAATCCAAAAGCCACTGCTGCCTGCACCTGTGAAAAGTTCACAGGTTGTCCTTGCGCCTGACAGATACTAAATTGAAACACGTAGAAAAGTACTGCAGGTCTTGGTGAAAAGTGAAAATTGAGCTCACATGAGCTCACCATTCGTAATGTTGAATTGCGTGGGTGAAAGTTCCCACACCTGACCATGCCGAAGTCTATGGTACATTTGGTCAAAGTATGGCCGAGGAACTGTAAGCCATACCACTCGAAAGCTCTGCTGGAACCATTTCTAGACTAAAGTTTGGAAATGGCAACAGCATCGGACTATTGTGCTAAAGTTCCATTGGGGCCCAACACATAGAACCAGCTAGATTCGGCAAAAGTTGGCCCACACTTGGTTGAACAAAGTGGAGACAGTCTCACCTTTCTTCCACCATTGCTCCAGCTGGTAACCCAACTCTGATTGAAAAAGTTGTGGACGGCACCAACGTCGGTAGTCTGAAAAAGTCATACGAAACATTGCCGGCAAAGTGTCCGCAGTGGTTTTGTGAAAACGTTCAAACTCAATGTTTGGCAAAATATGTTCCCCTCTGAGAGCCTGAAAAGTCTTGAGAATGTCTCACAAAAGTGAGCACTGTGCGGTGTGAAGAATAAAGTGGAGAAAGTTCACCACATTACGAGATCAAAGGTGGATCCAGCGCGTAGTTCCAAATCCATCAAAGTGGACCCATGCACTGAAAACGAGGTACGGCAAAGGTCACGAAGTTGACCATGAAAAATGGCAGCAGCATTCACACAAAGTCATCCCTGAATACTGAGAAAGTTCGACTTCGAAGACCGGCTTTCAACTTTCAGTGGAAAATGTGAATTTGAAACATAAAGATTTCTGCTTGCAACCAGCAACTTGGACTTTTAATTCAAAGTGACGTGCAGCATCTACTACCTGGGGATAAGTCCGAAAGTACCAAAGTGTCTATACAAAGTATCTGTGCCAACAGAATCTCAGCGGGGTTCAAAGTTCCTAGAACCTTACATAACCGAATCAAACCAGTCTGAGCAAGTTCTTGAACATACAAATGCCTAAGTTCAAAATGTTTTGTTTTTCTTGAGGTTCCGAAACGTCCCGCTATTGATTTTCTAGAAAGTGCCACAAGCTGCTGTGTTCTGCTGTGTGCTGTGATGTTTGCGCCCAGCGCGAAAAGTGACATGCCGGAAGTACTCTTACGTGAGCCTGGGCCCAAGCCCACTCGCAGTCCACGTATACCCTTGTGCTGGGGCGGAAGTTTCACAGTTGGGTGAGGTAGCTGAGCAAAAGTTTTGGTTCCTGAGAGATATTTTGCAAGGTGTTTCAGTTTGGAAAAGTGGTTGCCTGTTGGTCCAGTTAGTCCTTTTGCAAGTTCTTTGGTTGCAAACGTGATGTCACACCTCAAATTTGACAGCCAGAGTAGCTGACCAACAACTCTTCTACAAAGTCTATGCGTTTCTGGAGAAACTTGCTCTCAGTCAGTCACTTTCTTCATGGGGTCGTGACTGAGCGACAATTCTGCATTTCCAAAGTTTCAGGGATCTTCTCCACGTAGGTCGGGCTCATTGAAAGTTCTTCAGGAGTTCGCCGGTTGCCACGGACAAGAAAGTGAACCTGTTGACCTTCACCAAGGTGACCTGCGATCTTCAACAGAAGTTCTTTCCTCATGTCATGGGCAAGAATGTCAATGTCTGGACGGCTGCCGAAAAACATGAGGTCATCCACATATGTCAAGACATGAAGTCTTTCTGGTTGTGGACGTACCAGTTCGGATCACTCTTCATACGGCTAAAGTTAAGCTTCTTCATAACGGTCGCAAAGTGGTCTTGCCAAAGTCCCGGGGAGTTCTTCAAGCAAAGTGCACGCTTCAACTTCGAGACCACGTTCTGATCTGGATAGTATTCAGCATGTGGAATGACATAAATGTCTTCACCTGTGGTCAAGGCATGCAGAAAAGCTGTGGAAATGTCTCCGGTTGAAACATCCCACCCGAATGCAACCGAAAGTGTCAAAAAGAAGCTTCAAAGTCGTGAGGCTTGGAGTGCTCGCAAAAGTCTGATCAGGATCGTCAACCACCTGATAAAAACCACGGACAACAAGTCTGCAACGCACTGTGCCATCCGGCTTGCGAGTCTTCACCCAACGAGAGGAAATTGCATGAGAAAGTTCATGGCCACCCAAAGTTCCAACAGGCACTTCTGAAAAGACATCAAAGTTAACCATGGATTCAATCTCTTTCTTAATGCCATTGACCTCAAGTTCCTTTGGAAACTCAGTTTCATACCAAAGGAAAGGGTTCTCCAAGCTCTTTGTTAATTAGCAAAAGTTCCTTTTCATCTTGGTTCGCTGAAACAGGAACTTCGAGTCCATGCTTGGTGTCAACAGATGAAACCCGATAGTCAGAAGTCCAAGGCTTTGGAACAACCATGGGACCATGAGTTTGATGGAAAATCAATTCCAGTCACAGCCGCGACAGGGAGTACACACGAAAGTCGCTGGATCGTGGAACCAGGTCCAGCTTCTTCCGGTTCATGTTCATGTTTGCGTTCCAAGGTTGCAGCAGGATCAAGACGCGGGCGAGAATGAAAGTCCCCATTCTCGGGAGAAACTTCGCTATGCTTGCGAACACGTGACAGCGGAGAAAGTGGTGGCGACGGAAGTGCCACGCTCCCTTCAACCGGCCAGTCAACCAAGTCATCAGGAAGTGGGCTCTCTGGCTCTATGCAGTCGTCCACAGGCTCTTCGGCAGCAAAGGACGCTCCCTCAGACAATGGCCGAGGATCATCTTTGCAAAGTGGAAGTATGAAAGCATCTGTTTCACCCTTGGAACCAGTGTGATCCCAAGGTGTGGCTGTGATGCGTTGCAAAAGTTCCAAGCTCGACTGTCTTGACGGAATGTTCTGCCGGATACTCCTGGTCTTGACAACGCCGGAGGAATCAGCGACAAAGTGCATGTCGGACTCCGTATCGCGTCCAGGCCAGATTCCATCACCCAATGAAAGTTGAGTCTTTCCGACATTTGCAACACGAAACATCAACGCCTCACCGAAGTTGCAGATGGAACCATGGTATTTTCGGTTCCATCTTTGCCCGTAAGCGGCAATTTTCTGTTATTCAGCCACTGTGCATGTCGGAGAAGCTATGGATACAGTGGATTGTGGACGGAGATTTCAACGTCTTTGTACCTGGACTTGACATTGGCAATCAAAGTGCGAATCTGAGCATACAAAGTGGCCTGCATGTTTCCAACGGACCCCTGTGCTTGTTTCCATCCTGTTGGTGAACTTCGGTAAGAAAGTCCTCTAACAGTCACAATCTGAGCCAGTTGCTTGAGAGATGGTTCGGGATCCGCTTGCAAGATGCCGAAAATCCTTCCAGTTTCCAAGACAAAGCGCCGCAGCTCTGCCTGCGCATGCACTGAACGACTTTTGAAAGGAACAGCAACTGAAAGTGCCAAGCCACTCATGACATTCACAAAGTTCAAACAAGTGATTTGTGGCTCGCCAGGTTTGTCTCCAATGTACGAATAGTCCATTTGGAGAACTGGTTGACGAGACTTCAAAGTCCTGCTCGGATTCTTCAAGTTCTGTTGGTTCACCTGGTGCTTTCACACCTTTTGCTTTCTGCGCCAAAGTATCGTCAACAGGAACGGGAACATCATCAAAGTACCAGTCAACTTTGCAAAAACATGTCGCACCAACAAAAGTTCCATCCAACTCAAGTTCACCACGCTCATGCCAATTGTCATGAACCCATGAAGTGACACCATCGTCAGTGATGATCAAAGTCATGTGTGCCTCCTCAATGTCATGAGAGGCCAAACCTTGATCCTCAGGTGGCACATACAAAGCTCTATATGCTTCTTGTGGTGCACACGGACGTACGAGGCAGGAAAGTCCAACCAATGGTCATGAACGTACCGCTGAGAAGTCGTGGGGCCCATGTCAGAAACTGCTTGTAAGACAAGAGCCTTAAAGTCCTCCAAAGTCACTTCTCTTGCCTTGTCCAACTTGGCAACGAGCGTGTCTTCAACCGAAAGTGGCCTTGAAGGTCGCGAAGAAGAGTCGACATGTTTCCGTCTCTCTGTCTCTGTTGCCTCCTTTGACTCACTGAGCGACTGTGGCTGTGGCAAAGTGGAAGTTTTCATCCACAAACAACGTCCTGTGGGCTTCAAAATAAGTGAGCATGGTTCGACCGTTGAAAGCGCCAACCCTTGCGCATGGATCATCAGACGTTCGCCAATTGTCGGTGAAAGCCCGCTTGGTTCCAGCCGCAAGTTCCATTCTGTGACTCGACGCGAGGCCAAGCCTTCAACAGGGACAGGTCGACCCTGCGTGCCATTTGGAACGAAGAGTGTCTTTCTGGCACGAGGATGAAGCCGAACCAACATATTGATCGTCCTTCAAAACCTATCGATCAGCATGATAGTACACGGGTTAAAAGTTGCCATCAAGCCAGGAGGAGCCTCAGAGTTGAACTGAGCATGAAATTCATTGCACAAATGTGCAAAGTCATATTCGTTGAATGGTCCAAGTTTAGGGCATAGGGACACAAGTGAACCATGACGAACAACCCTGGCGTCTTGCCCATCCGGAGTTCTCAAAGTACATGTGTCAGGGGAGTCCATGTTCACCTTGTATCCCTGCAAAAGTAACCTTGCAACAGAAATCGCCGGATAAGGATCACACACACACATATAAAAGTGAAAACATACAGGAACACCATCCAAACTCATATGAATGAAGCGACGGCCATACACATGTAAAGGTTGTCCGCTGATGCTTCTCAAAGGTGGAGGATCACCGTTTAACGGTAAAAGTGGCCATTCTTCCCCAAAGTTGTTTGGGCAACAAATGGCCGAAGCACCGCTGTCAAAAAGAACCCAATGGTCAGCATCCAAAGTTGTTGATGCTACCAAGTGATCAGTAAGCCAACGGTCATGGAAAGTGGTATTCAACTCCAGGAAACAAAGTCTCCAACCCGTGTTCATGAACCGTTTTTTCATGAAAGTCACAACAGGTGACATCACAAGTTCATTCTTAAAGTGAAACGGCGCAACAGGCATACGAAAGTCACCGACTCCGGAGTACATGTAATCATGTGCATTCATGCCATGAGATGACAACGAAAGTGAAGAACTTGGTGAGACGCATTCATCATCACGGCTGCAAAAGTGCAACGTTAGCCATGGGAGAGTTCTTAGCCGAAGGCGTCCTCGAGGTCAAAGTTTTGGAAGGCTGCGAAGTCACTGCCGAAACGGATCCTTGTGGAGGAAGTGGCGGCTGCAAAGTCTGAACAGTTCCTGCGGCAGAGGAGCCAGCCGAAGCTTGCTCCAAAGTTGCCTTAGTGCCAGATCCTGCAGACAGTTCCTTGGAGTTCCAAAGTGGTTCCTGGTACGAATGCCAGCCCCAACTGTTGCCCCAAGAATTGTCATACCATGATTCATCATATGAATAGTCCTGAAAGTCCCAACTTCCATCATACACAAAATTCACAGCCCAGTTTTCGTCAAAGTCTTCCCGGCTAGCGTTCCATGACGTCCAATCATCTTCTGACCATGTCTTTTGAAAGGTTTCCACTTCAATTGCATTCACTCTTCCTGTAGGGCAAGCATTCTCAAAGTGACCAAAGCCACCACATGTCCAACACTGTTTTCCTTGAGGACCCGAAGATCCTTTCTGACCCAAGAGTCCTTTACCTTTGCCTTTATTTTCTCCTTCCGGCTTGCCTCCTAATACTCCTTTACTTTTTCCTTTTGCAAAGTTCCAGTGGTACCCTTTTCCTTTTTTACCTTTTCCTTTTGCCTTACCTTTTCGTTTTGATCAAAATCCTTTCTTGCCCTTTCCTTTCATTGCGGTGCAGGGCCATTGCTTCTACTGCTGTTTGCCCTTAGAACGAGTTTGAGCATCAAGTGCTCTATGATAGTGTCTCGCGTCTGCTGGTACGTCTGCAAAGTCTTAGCGTTGAGATGAAGGTGTTGCTGAAGTGCTCCCGTGGTCTTATTCAGCAAAGTGGCCACCAATACGGCATCGGGAAGTGGCGTGCTGACTTGTTGTTCATACCGGTTCTTAATGGTTTCCCAAGTATTGAAGTCAGATTCAAAAGTGAGACATGCCTGGTTGCATCTGGAAGTGCAATTTTTTGGCGCAGAAGTCTCCATGTTTCAAACCCATTGGAATCAAAGTTCTGTCACGCAATCAACCTAGCAGAATCTGTCGTCAGATTTGCAAGCAAGTAGTGCAACTTTCTGCTAAAGTTGATGGCTGCCTGGGTTGCCACATTGTCCACATCTCCTGTGTCCAAAGCCAAGGTGAGACCGGCATTTGTGAGCACTGTCTGTCGGCTCTCTACGTCATCCAGCAAAGTTTTCACCGTTGCATCAAACATGCAGTCCCAACTCCATTCTTCCCAATCTGCAGGTGTTCCAGAGAAATTCTTGGGCAGCGGACGACGAATCTTCCCTGCAAAGTCAAACTCTCCAGATTCAAGGGCCATTGTTCTACTAAAGTTCCCTGGGCTCTTTGAAGCTCCGCCTGCCATGCGAAAGTAGCAGGCTCTGAGGCTCTGACACTACTGAGCAAACAAGGTGACTAGCTACCCTAAAGTAGGTCTCCCAAGTCCCACAGGCTCAAAATCTTCTCTCACCTCTGCTGATACCAAAGTATCGCGCTCGAGCCATGCAGCTTGAACCAAAGTACATTGAAGCACTTGGCATGGTAAAGTGACGTGGGAGAAAAGTGCAATTTTCACAAAAACGCAGCAGCAGCAGCAGCAACAGCAACAGCAACAACAACAACAACAACAACAGCAACAATGCTGATAATCATCATCGCGGTTTGCCCGAATGTTGGTGTGGAGTCCGGGCAAACCGTAGGGTCTTGCTTGCTGTAATACTATGTAACGTTTTTTCAAATGCAATCACGGCAAAGAGGGTGGCGTGCTCTTTGACCGTGGAGTCATATGCAGCGCAGCACAATGCGGTGCAAGGTGATTTCCGGAGAGGACTTCTCCACAACCATTGTGCGACACGGGGGCCCGCTGTTCCAACAGATTCGAACCATAGGCAGGGCATAGCACGACATGGCAGGACCAGTGGCCCCAAACTTGTCAAAGAATGCTAAAAATAAAAAGTCTAAACGTTTCATTGAAACTGTGCGGCTTGCCGTGCAAACGAGAGATCCGACTTGATACTATGAGAACTCATGGATGAGACTTGCAGCCCACCGGACTGTGCAGGGCTGCTCTACATCTCGCTGGCGGAAAACCGAGATTCTGACGAGACTGGTCCACTTACTGATCTGCCACTGTCAGAGGAAAAGGCGGAGGTGCGGAACAGTTGTCCATGTACTGTATCTGAATAGTGATGTATAGTACTGTATAGTGATATAGTGTACAGTACTGTATGATACTGTATGGTGATGTATAAAATGTATAGTTTATATCGGCTAGGCCTGGCTAGACCTGAATCTCTGATGCAACTCCGTGGTATGCCGTCTGCAGATAAAAACGTTCGGTCCCACGCCTTTGTTGATCACTTCGATCTGCCGACACCAGGATGTTCGGGAACGCGCTGCACGATTTGGCCAGCTGCGATTGTTCGGCACTAAGAGGATCGGTCATGTTGTCATGTTGTCATTTTGCCTCAGCATATCCCGTCGTGCGTGAGTAAAAAGGGGCAAAGGATGGCAGAACCAAATGTCACAGCAGTGTCTGAACTTGACTTGGATTCTCACTGATGTTGTGTCCAGGATTGCTCCGGCTGAGCCAAGGAACATATAGCAAATTGCACAGTAGAATGTAGAAGAATACAGCAGCATATCATGTCGCAATCATGCCTATTAAATTATTAAAGTCTATTGCAAGCAAGTCCATCAGACATTTTGGTGTTTGCTTGGTAGTTTCGCTGGCATTGAATTTGGTCACTGTATCACCTCAGGTCTCCAAGCAGAAAAGTTTCCGGCACCGGCATGATTGGTCTTGGATCTTTCTTTGGAGGCCAGCTGGCCGTGCCAGGTGTAATGGAGGTTGGAGGAGGCTTCTGTTGTCAAATCACACGCCTGGCTTCATGTTAGCCCGCGGGGTAGGGAAAGGTCTCTCACTTTCTTTATTTCTATTAGATCCATGCCTAGTTTCAATATGTTTCAATGGGTTAATGGCAGTTCGGGATCTTGGGGTGGGTTTCCGCATTTGCCGCGCCAGCTCGTCGGTCTGCCCTTCAGTAGCCGCGTCTCCTGGATGCTTTTGGCTGAGTTTGGTTCCAGAATTCTTGCAGCTAAGAACTGCTAAGAACTGCTAAGAACATCCAAGGACTGACGCCCTGACGTAACTCCGGCGCCACGTCACATTTGTCATGCTCGACCGTAGCTGAAAGTTGTGCAGATCCCGCTGAGACCAAAGTGTCCGGTCAACCACAAGCCCTGGGGGCAGATACTGCATGCAACCTTGCCCTCAAAGAGGACGCAGAAACGGGAAACTGGAGCCAACAGGTCTCCTAAAGCTTAAAGCTTGAGTGGAAGCCTGGAGGACAGCAGAGTTGTCGGATATTTTGCAGGTTTCACTTCGAGATTTTAGATAGTGAGTCTCTGATGGGGCTCCGTCAGCTCTGTTCATAACAGAAGGCACCTCAAATGGTATCCGAGTCGCAGTTTTGTCCAGGAGGATTGAGAGGATCGTGTCTCGTTCTCCGACACTCGAGACTTGAGTTTCTGCTTGAAAAATGCATTGGCTCCAGCACCGGTGGGCCCAAAGATAGGACTCCACCGAGGAACTCTTTGCAGCAAAAAGATAGAGCTCTACTGAGCTGTAATTAGATGTAATTATATAGTAATTACCTCACTAACGGGCTGAATTCAAGAACGGACTGAAATAGTCTCTCTCGCTACTCAAGTCTCTTCAAGTCTCTTCAAGCAGATATGCCCTTTCGTTTCTGACTTCCTCCTAATGTAGGACAGACCCCGCCCGCAAGCCATGGCAGCGAACCGAGCAGATCCGAATGACCTGGTGAATTGCCATTTTTCGGTGCGCAACTCAGATGGTTGACAGCGTCCGGAACGATACGCCTGCATCAAAAGTCCAGCAGCATCCAGCAACCATTGGGCCATGACAGACACGGACATGTACAAAAATGTCAGCGCACCTATGATTGATTCAAGTTCTGTCAACGATTTGCGTGGTGAGGTGAATCAGCAGGCGCTGATATCAGTTGTGTGCGTCTTAATGTAAAGGGCTCCCAGGAATGCTGTTTGTGCTTAAGTAGGTCCAGTCAGTGCTGCACGTGCTTAGGAGAATGTGCTTCATGAGTTTGAGCTTTCTTGCGTCAGAGCATGCACATGCACACAGAGACATAGTGACATTTCCCACTCTGGCAATGTGCTAAGATCAAGCCCATGATGTCAGAGCTGGCTCGGGGTCTTGGTGAGAAAGTTGCCAGAGATAAGAGAGCTGGGTCAGCTGGGTGCCCTTTCTTTGCCCTGCCAAGGCGCAGGAATGGGGATACGAGTCCAGGCTTAGTTCCCTTGAGAAATCGTTGGAGCCTTGGAGTGAGCCCACCCGCGGTGCATTTCCTATGCATTTCCTTTTGCCCTGGAATGTTTGTTCAATCTTTCAAGGATTGTGGGAAGGTCCTTGGATGTCTTCGGTTTTCATCGGTTTCATTGGTTTCATCGGTTTTAGAGCGCTTCTGCTCTGCATTCTGCTGTTCATGATCTCCATGCTCCGCTGAGGCAGGGGATGCTGCAGAAAGAGGTGGCCCTCAAGGCTGAAGCAGCAGGCGCCATTTGGAACGAAGTATCGAAGCCATATCGAACCCTACCGATGTGAATCGCATGGGATCGCATGACTTCCAAGAGGTTCGGTAGAGGTTGGGTGGTTTGATATGCTATGCCCCAGGCCATTGTTATGACGCATGAGGGATCCTGAGAGCTTGAGCTGAGACGCCATGGATCTCCATGGTGGTGATTCGTTGGGAGTGGACGAGCTGGAAGTTGGCGCGAAGTCCAACGGCTCAAGGCCTTGTGCCTGTTTACACTCACACGAACACCATCGAACACCTACACACATTACATTATTTACATATATCACACATACAAGTGCACATGCATCGTCATACATTGACAGACCTTGATATCGGCATCGATATCCATTGACATACCTTGACGTGCTTTTACACTCACTTACATATATTTGCATATATTTACATGCATTGAAATACCTTGTTACACCTTGACATGTCATGACATACAATATGCAGACATACCTTGACATACATAATACATTGACATACAATAACATACACACATGATTTTTATGTATGAATGGATGGATGCCCTTGTCGCAATAGTTTGGGTCGATGGACGGCCTCTGAAAAGCTTGAGGCAACCACACTGTTGGCGTTGCGACCAAGTGCGTTTGATCTTGTAGAAACCAGATGCAACCAGATGTGATCCACAACAAGTTTCTATTAATTCCAGCAATGGAGCAGCCTAGTGCTGTGCTGCCATGGCTGAAGCAGACCGGACACTACTGAAGCGCACCTGGGTGCAAGATGTTTGCTGTACACGAGTTGTGCACCGCAAGGGCTTTACGCGCATATCCGCATATCCCAGTCTGTCATTTAAATTAATGTGACATATTTTGTTAGACGTCAGAGATTCCATTTCCAAGTATCCAATGGGCTCGGTACACTAAGTAGACAAAAAGATCAGAAAGAGCGCGCATACTTGCTCCAGATTTAAGGCAAGAGAAGCTGTTGGCACCTTAGTTGAGGGTGCTGGTGAGACCCTGTATATACACACAACAGAAAAGGCT